AAGGTGGGGAGGGGGCGTGTGACCTGTACGCCGCCTGGATTCGCCACTGATGTTATATAACTAAATCGTATACCAACTTTATATAAATTGTAACTTGGATGGAGAGTTGTCCCATTGGCACTCATACCACATCTTCGTATATCTATTGAAATTTTATAAGAAATAAGAAAGCAGGGACACCCACGAAATTGGATGTATGTGAGTAGGATTGTCATGTTTATTCTAAAAATTCACATTGATATTTTGGAATTGTCGGCATGCGAGACCAAGGGATGCAAATTCGTGGCGGCTTGGACTCTTTGTATGAAGCTTCATATGTCAGAAGTTAGAAGGCTTGACTGCAACATACCTCGCACACATATCTTTTATGTAACGACAGAGGCAGATTTAGAGGGTTTTCCAGGGAAGCCCTCCCCCCCCCCCCCCCCGCCCTTTTGTGGGAAAAATTTGGTTGATTATTTAGGGAATCATTAAACCTAACGTATGGCGCACATGACTATTTATGTGACCTTGAACTTATTTTCTTGATTAATTGGTAAATGTTAAGTTTTTTTTTTTTGGTTGGTTTTAATGATTGTAATGTGTTCATGTCCGTCTGGCAGGTTTCATCAGACCTTGACTTTTTTATGGTTCTATGAACAATGTTAATCTTATAAGATACTTTTATTAAATTATTTATCTTACAGACCTTCAAAATAATTTCGATAACGATCATTCCAGCAGTCGCGACATGTCAGTGCGTACAGTCACTCCTGTAAAAATAATACGTAGTATTTATTTTTGTAAAAAAAAAACGCAATTGAAGTTGTTTTGCCATGTCTGATTTGTTTATCTCGTTCGTGTAAGCCTTAATTATGAAATGTTAGACTTTTTTTTAATTCAAGAACGGTTCAATCTTGTTTGGAATTCTTGGTTGGTTTTAGCTCACCTGACCCCAAGGGAAAAGTGAGCTTTTTTCATCATTTTGCCCCCGTCGTCCGCCGTATTCCGTTAATTTTTTACATAGTCTTCTCCTCTGAAATTACTGGGCTACAATACATTTAACAAAGCTTATCCACAATCTCATGTCGGTTTTAAAAGGTCTAACGAACTTATGTTTAACTGTTTTTCATCATCATTGGGGTATCTAGTTTAAAAAGTTTTTGATGACCCCCGCTTGTCAACAAAGATGGCCGACATGGCTTAAAATAGAACATAGGGGGATGCAAGTTTTGTCTATTATTTGAAAACAGCTATAGATAGAGAAAATTTAACAGGGGCAGATATGTTCATAATGTTGAGCTCTACCTTCTGTCCATACACATCAAAACTCTCACACGAATTCTTATAGAAGTTAATGTCCTTGAATGGCAAATTTCTCCTTTTTTCCATTTCTGTCTATTATCTTGAAATATATAAAAGTTATATAGCAAAAATGATCAGCAAGACAATATATACGAATAAGTCGACTTGGTCGATATCCTTGTAAGAATTATTGACCTTTAATTACGATTTTTACCATTTCTTTGCGTTTTTGCCAATTATCTTACAAAAATCTTCTCCTCTTTAACAATTTAATTAAACTTGGCCACACGCTTTATTGAGGTATCTGGTTTGAAAACGCACATGATCAGCCATTTGTAAATTTATTTTTTTGTTTCAGGGTACCAGTGTTAACGTTGTTTATTCAGAAAATAAACAAAACAGTGTTCTATACATAGACAAAACCGGGTCATTGTGTAGTAAACAACATTGACAAAACCGGGTGCTTCCATTTTGACATGACCTATTTCTTTTGTTCCATACGCAGAAATACAAGGATTGAGGTGCTCAAAGTGACTAGTTTTGCAATCTCCATGTCAATATCTTTCTTTCTGTACCTTTCTTTCCGTACCATGTGAACAATTTAAGGAGAAATTAAACAAATTCGAGGCAAGGTTCACTCAATTCGTCATTTTGACGTGCATTTTTACTTATTTCTCCGTTAATCTAGAACGGTTGTAGAAAATATTACATCTCACAATAGAAAATAGTTATATATGTATATATATTCTTCGATATCATAAGAATAACAAATAAATAAACAGAAAACTACCTTTTTTCTGTCTATTGATGTTCCGTCACCGTGCCGGATATTAGATACCATCGAGTCCAAACATTTTTTGCCGGGGTAGTTTAGACACAGTGATAATATTAAATAACCTTTTCCAATAAAGATGACAAACAACAAACTTCAGGACAAACACATTTGAGGTAATATTTATATCTATTTTCAAATGCAGTGATCTAGCGAAGTCCTTTCCTGGGATGTTCATTTCTAATTTGAAATAGTTAAAAATATTCATATCATTTTATATATATATACTCATATTGGTAAGAGAGTATTAATAGACAGAGTTTATTTACATACAGTTTCTCAGTTTTTGACTGATGGATATTAAGTGTACAATGACAAGTCTTATACATATTTCTCCCATCGTGAATCTATAAAACCCTTTATAGTGGTCTAAACTTAAAGGAACGTGAAAAGGAAATGAAATCTTTATTCTGCAGTATAATTTCCTAAAAGTTATTCAAGAGTGAGGTTAAAAGTAAAAGTTTTCCCTTTTTGACTAATACACTTTTATAAAAAAGTGGAAAAAAAGAAGCAAATCATTAAACTGCAGACTAATTTCCTAAGGTTTTTCAAGGGCGACAGTGAAAGTAATGTTGTCCTCTTTTTAACTGATAAAAATTCAGTGTAAAAATGACACAACCACATTACGTTTCATAGTCTAATTAATTCCATCAATATAAGATAAAAATTTGTTTTAACGTTTGATAAAAGTGGAATAGAAACCAAATCTTTAAATTGCAGTCCATTTCTTAAAAGCTATTCACGGCCTAGGGTGAAAGTGAAAGTAAAACTGTGTTTTCCCGGTTTTAAACTGATACGTCATCCAGCTTTAAATGTATGTGTACATTGAAAACGAACAATGATATAAGTTGTTCAAGACATAAAAAACGATAAACAGTATACATAATGAGAACAAAAACAACTGTGAAACAGATTTATTACGCAGCAACTACAGACATAAACAGTTATGGACACTCAGGGCTTTGAACAGTTGCATAAGTCATCATTTACAATGTACACATAAAGTTTTGAAGTCAAATGGACAGGGGAGGGGAGGGGGAAGGGAGCGGAAGAAGGTGCAAATAACGTCGTGTTTTGTCATATGTAAATTAAAATCCCGATGAAAATTCAATTTGGATGACAAGTTATGAATTTGAGACTACAAGTAAAATATATCCGTAAGTGTATATCTTATATTTCATGAAGGTCAACAAAGTCATGATGACAACCGCTAAAGACTTACGAGAAAAAAAAACTTCACCGTTATGATTTAGAATCTTTGCTTCAGAAGTTTCGTTATAAGCAGAAGCACTTTATCAAGAAAATTCTAATAGAAAACAAAACCTCTGGATATCGTATTAACTGGGAGATATAATTACTTCGATTCCTCAGTGTTTCCCATCAATGACAAAAAGTATGATATTCGTTTTCTAATGGTCACTTTTGCATTTTTTAGTAATTGCATGACTCTTCCTACGGTATGTTTGCGATATGACAGATCGTTTTATTTTGATGTTCACTCTTTTACCTTAAAAATTTGCCGCAGTCTTAATGAGTCAAATTTATGGTTATAATACTTTAAAATTGGTCTGTTACAATGGTGTTATGTCTTAATTTCATGGATATAAGTTTACTGTCGTAGATCCCACTTGTCTGTGTTTATTACCTTAGTGACGTACCCACTCTCGCTCTTTTAGAGCGCATGCGAATTCCGCAATATTTGCTTTAACTCGATTTGCCTTAATCGATATATGAGATCTAAACATTGAAAAACTACTATTGCCTTTTATTATTGACATGTTCTGGGTCTGTCCCTTAGTACTGTCTGTTATGATCTGTCTTTGTTTATTCCCTCCATTGACACGTTCTTGGTCTTGACACTTACTACTGTCTGTTTCTTAAAAAAAAATACGAGTATTGACATGTTCCTTGTCTGGACAATTACTGCTGTCTATCTATATATTTTTAAAAACAAATTAAAAAAATAAACGAATAAACGAGGCGAAATGCTGCGGTATGGAAATCCTTCTTCTGCTATGCATACGTCAAACTTATATATAAGCCAGGTTTTCTGTGTCGATTATATTCAATTGTACATTTTTCTATATGGTTAACAGACACAGTGAAAACTATAGATATCATAGCAACTTTTGACAAAATTGGAAAAATGACTTTGTCTTCTCAATTTTAACCATTCTATTTACGGGAAATGGATGGTTAAACTCAGTTTGATTGTTGCATGATTACTAATATGATACATAACACAAAATCAAACAGGATATGTACAAAACAGACGGTAGTGTAGACTAAAGTAACACATGGGCAGTACGAACTCACATTAAAACAGGGCTGAGTATTTACTGAAACGACCTCTTAAGATAAATTAACTGTGTACCGCCATCTTGGATTGTAAAATAGCAGTACACAATCGGTCTAATTCTTTGCTTAAATCTGCAAATTCTGAGAAAGATTGACAAATAATATGTAAGACTGTTAATTTGAATAAAGAAAAATTTTCATTTTTTACTTGTAGCAATTAAACAAAATCGGTGACGCTATGTTGTCTTTTTATTTTCTTTAAGCATATTATAAAACCTATCTTCTAATATTTTATATCGAAATTCTATCTCATAGATTTTTTTGTATTTACAAAAAAGTGTTTTCTCATGAATAATCTTGCCAAAATTAGACAATTTTGCACGACTTGCAGCTTGAAAAATAGCACGGTGACCCATACTTTTTATTATATTTTGAAAAAAGTATGGTAAAATCTACATTTTGGCAAAGTATAAGAAAATTCTATACGAGGAAATATAAACCGATGATCCACTTTAGGCACACAAATTGTTAGGCTAAACTAACTTAGCATGGCGGTGATGTTTTCACACAGAATCAGACAGAAAAGTTTAATTTTAAATAATTTAATTGTTCATTTTGTTCATACAGTAAATGTCTCGCACACACGCACACACACACATATATATATATATATAATAATACGTGCTTTAAATATTCATTGTTATTTCGATCCCTTAAATACCTGATTGTTTGGATTCAGTTGGTTGGAGTGGTTGTCCTGGTCGGGCTTAGTTCCGGTTCCAGTATAACCAGACTGATGTCCTTCATATTTAGTGCTGGTTGGATTATACTGGTCAGACTTGTTGTCGTTACTAGCTTGGCCTTGACCTTTTCCAGACATTTTTCTTCTGTAAAAAACGAGTCAGATTTCATACAAGACTGTAGTATGCACAGTTACCCCGAATTTTTAAATAAACAGAAAATAGAAAAAAATAATGTTTTACTACTAAAACGTGAACGTTAAGTTAAAGCATCAAGTGCAGCTTCAACTCATCAACATTAATCATTGCAATTCAACAGGCAATATGGAATTCCAGTCATTTGCTTTAATAAATTTTCACCGCTTAAATTATGAATTATTGTACGACTGATTAACACAATTATATTGAAAATATGCATATAACATATTAATTTTCTAATCATTTTAACCTCTATTTGTTTTTTGTGTAATGATTTTGTCTTGTATTTTGTAAACATTTATTTATAAGTTACTTTAAATAATGCCATAATACATTAATTTAAAGCGCGTTTTACGTTTATCGATCGCTAATATTTCATAAGAGATGGTTAGGTAATTCCATTTTCGGAATATTGTGTTGTTTGTTATGATTTTTTTTTGAAGTTTCGTACTTTGACTGTTTCAAATTTATAAAACATGACATTTGGACTGACAAAGTCTGAGAATTTGTCGGTCCAATTCTTTAATTGTATAAAATAATTCATTACATATATAATAATAACATATGTCAGACATTTCAAAAGTTTATCAGTCAGATGATTCGGAATGAAACTTTATAAAAACTCTGCTCTTAGAATACTGTACGTCTCTAGTAGGAGAACAAATCTATTTGATTTAGTTATGTAACGAAAACCAAATGTTAGTCTGTAATCCAAGTTATTCTACACAATGTTAGATTCTGAGCCTTTTTCATAGATATATCTTTTAAGATGAGCTTCTTGTGTAATTGAATAATACAAATATGCTTAATAGTTGTACATACCCGATTTATGTTTCCGGTCAAAAAAGTGATGAGAGATTTCTGTTGCTTTGTAAAAAAGTTAGTGTGCCAACTGGCGCAGTGCGACGTAGATCAATCAGTCATATGCTTTTATAGTCGGGTCGTACTTTCTGGAAAATATATATAAATAACGGCATTCGATTGGACCGTTAATATTTCTTTGCATCAAATTTGACATCTACTTTGATAGAGGTTGATTTTACCAACTGTTTCATTTTTCAGAAAAAAAGCATATATCAAAATAAAAAAAAATACATGTCTATGATGGTTTATAAAACTGTAACTTACCTGTACTATATTGGATTCCTCCGGTAAAACTGTAACGGGAGTGAAGTTTCCTTCTGGCTTCGCTATCTTCCCGTTGTCTAACCCAAGTTCTGGGATATTGGACAAACTACGATATAAACAGAATGTTTATTTGAATAAATACATGGTTGAAATATACAAGTCATACAATAATGACATATAAAAAGATACAAAAGTACGGTGGTAGCTAGTCTACATGTTGCCTAAAATGTACGAGCCAAAGTATGAGCGTCTGCTCATTTCAAATCCTCTCGTAGACTGCCCAAAGACCCGGTGAGTGACGTCATACTTATAGTTCCTAGGGACAACGAGCCCGGCCGGGCCGGATGTCAGGCACGTGCAAGAGGCAGGAAGTCCCGACAAGAATAATTACATGGCCGGTCTCGGAAGAAAGAGTTACGGAACTATAAATAATACTAACATTAACCAATTTCCCCAAATAAATAAAATAAATAACAAGTAAACAAAGTGACCACTATTTCAAAACAATAAAACAGTTTTATTTGTAACTTTTCGGAACTTTTGTCTAAACATTTTCAATGTCTAAAAATAACATAGTTTCATAAATGTAGAAAGAAGAAGAGATAAACGAAGGGTTTTCATAGGTCTACGGTGACAAACAGGCTGCATAAAATTCCTACTGATGTAGTCAACATGGCAGAGTCTAGAAACATGTCTTTACACAGCCTGAAATTTTCAGACATCCTATATATTTAATATTACTAAATCGGAAAATTTAAATGCAATTACATATCATTTTAAAGAAAATTCATCAACTTTTTGACGATATTCTATAAATTTATACTTCTACTGCCTCTGTGCGATATATCTAAATTTCAAATATGTATTATTTTACGATAATCAGATACTGATTTAGATGCTCTAATTGGACATATAATTTCATAAAAATCTTCAATATCGATCATGCTTTACATATCATATTTGTTTTTCGTTCATTATTTTGTACATAAATCACGCCGTTAGTTTTCTCGTTTAAATTGTTTTACATTTGTCTTTTCGGGGCCTTTTATAGCTGACTATGCGGTATGGGTTTTGCTCATTATTGAAGACCGTACGGTGACATATAGTTGTTAATTTCTATGGCATTTGGTCTCTTGTGGCGATTTGTCTCTTTCGCAATCATAACACATCTTCTTATTTTTATATTTACGTATCTCTTATATCTGTTAGTACATGACGTCGAAACATATCTGTGTTAATGAATACTTGTATTTCGCTGAACTGTAGTATACATAATTGTTTAGAGGCCAGCTGAAGCACGCCTTCGGGTGCGGGATTTCTCTGGCAGCTTTGAAGACCCATTGGTGGCCTTCGGCTGTTTTGTACCCTTTGGTCGGGTTGTTGTCTCTATGACACATTCCCCGTTGCCATTCCCTATTCTATTGCATACTGTTTCTTACATTATACATCTAGTTACATGCATGAACTCAAAATGTAGTTTAAGAAAAAAAATGGATAAATGTTGAAACTACAACAGGCGACAACTGTTGACACAAATGGAAAAATTACTTTGTATTTTCAATCTAACCATTCCATTTTACGGGAAATAAAATAACGGGTTTTGACATGGCAAACCTTCTACTAATATGACAGTTGTCAAAACAACTTCAAAAGACGAAATCTAGCACACCATCAAACAGGATACGTTCAAAACAGACGGTAGTGTAGACTGAAGTAGCACTTGGGTAGTAAGAACTCTCATCAAAACAGGAAGGGATATTTACTGAAACAACCTTTTTTAGGCACCCATATTGCCAAGCTACACTAAGTTTTCATGGCATTGATGTTTTACACAAAGAAACAGGTAGATAAGTTGAATTGAAAATAATTTAATTTATCAAGTTGCTGAAACAGTAAATGTCCCGCACAAGTTCATATAAACAGATGCGTCTAAATGTTCATTGTTATTTCTTTCCCTCATATTCCTGATTGTTTGGATTCATTTGGTTGAAGTGGTTTTCCAGGTCTGGCTTAGTTCCTGTTCCAGTATAAGCAGACTGATGTCCTTCATATTCAATGCTGGTTGGATTACACTAGTCAGAATTGTTGTCGTTACTTGATTGGCCTTCACCATTTCTAGCTTGGCATTCACCTTTTCCAGATTAGCCTTCCCCTTTTCCAGCTTGGCCTTCACCTTTTCCAGACATTTGTCGTCTGTCAAAAAATGATTCAAATTTCATATTCGAGCTTAGTAGGCACTGTATCCCCGAATTTTCAAATAAACACGAAATATATAATCAATGTTTTGCTACTGAAATTAACGTTAAATTAAAGCATCCAGTGCAGATTCCGATTATCAATACAATTCAGTGCAATTCAACAAACAGCATAGACATCCAGTCATTCGCTTTAATAAATTGGCATCTCTTAAACATGTACTTTTACTGTACGACAAGTTAACACAGCTATATTGAAAATATGCAAATAACATATTGATTTTCTAATCATCTTGACGTCTACTGCTTTGTTGTTGTTGTACTTTCGTACTTTGACTGTTCCAGATTTATTGAAACAGTACATTTGGACTGATAAAATCTCACAATTAATCAGTCCTATTCACTATTTTTTTGTTGTTTAAAAATTCACTAATTTTTGTCATACCTTCAGACGGACATGATAACACCATATGCCAGACATTTCAAAAAGTTTATCCGTCAAATGATTCTATCAGAACTCTGCTCTTAGAATATTTTACGTCTCTTGTACAAGGCATAGCTTTTTGATCTAATTATGCGAAGATACCTAAATGTTAGTCTGTTATCCAAGTTATTCTAAATAAAGTTAAAATCTGAGACTTTTTTTTATAGATAAATCTTTTAAGACGAGCTTATTATTGTGTAGATAAATAATAAAGGGTAGTAAATAGATGTACATACCCGATTTCTGTTTTCCGGTTCAAAAAGTGATGAGAGATTTCTGTATACTTTGTAAGTAAGAAAGTGTACCAACTTGCGCAGTGCGATGCAAATCAATCTGTAGTATGATTTTTATAGTCGGGTCTTAATATCTCGCAGCTATAAATGTATAACGGCATTCGATTGGACCGTTAACATTTTGTTGAATCAACTTTGACATCTAATTGGTTAGTTGATTTTAGCAATGTATTTCATAGACAACTTTTGATTAATATTACCACAACTTCCCTTTACAATATTTAATTCCTCCTTACAGAAATGACAAAGTTCTATTTGTAAACTTTTGGAAAGTTAGTCTTAAAATTTTAAATATCTAAACATAATACATTTTCATCAATAAAAGGCGGACGAAGGGTTGTCGTATGCTGAGATGGCAAGCGAGCTTCTTACAGTTCATACATAAATTCTTACATAAGAAGTCAGTATGGTATAGTCTCGACTCAGTTCCTTTAGCAGTCAAAATGAGTTGCTATTTATTACAAGTCTTTCAATTTGTTTTTCATTAGAACTTTGCTCTAACATCAATATCTGTGAAGTAAAGTTCATATCCCATTATAGTAACTTATAAATAAATGTTTCTGACATTATGAATCGAGTTACGTGCATGGATTCAAATTGAAGTTTAAGATAAAACAAAATGGATTAATGTTCAAACTACATCAGGCGACAGTCAAACTGATCAACGCAGCTGTTTGCCAAGATAGATTGATATGTTGTAGGAAATAAAATGCTGCAGGTTTAACGAGCTTCATGCATAACCACCCCTTATTCATCCTTAGCACATTATACAATTTTTGACCAGGCGACTTAAGGTAAAAGTACAGTAAATAGGCTGTCATGTATCAACAACATATCAAATTTAAAAAATATTATATGCATTGGTAATTGGAGATTTCAAGATTTCAAGACAAAATTAAGAAGGCTTTTAGTCGATTTTATGTGCTTCCTTTACAAATGTGCATCTATTTTTTAAAGAAATAATTCAGCAATATTTCAGAAAATAAAACAGGTAAATGCATTATTTTTTTCGATTTTCTGTTATAGTTCAACCTTATGTAAGTTCTTACTGTAAGTGAACTGCCAATATTAATTTTATGATAGTAAAAGATACAAAACAACTAAATATTTTGAGGAAATTAATGTTTAAAGTGTAAACTGAACCGTATGTATTTGTCGGAGTACACATAACTTTTGTATTCTTCCAATTTTAGAATCTTCGACTGATCATTACCTTAGTCTGGGAGAACCTTATTTTATTATCAGTTGTATTTTCTTTTGAACTAGCTTTCGGTGACTGCAAGTACTCATATATCGTGACTGTCTTTTGTCTTTATCTAATTTGCTGTTTGTTCTGTGCTTTGTGCCAATCTAATAGATCAAGTATCTTTTAACTATTTTGATTAGGTTGTTATAGTTTGCTATTAAACCAATGTCTCATGTTAGGTATAACAGAGCGCTTTATTATTATGTGCACTATACCTTAAAAGATATAGCCACATGCTTATTAATGTTTGCAATACTTCAAATTGGTCTGTTGTTACAGTGGTGTTTTGTCTTAATTTCCTGAATACATGTTTACTTTGTCAAAGACCCTACTTATCTGTTACGATCGGTCTTGGTTTATTAGCATTAAAACGAACCCAGTCTTGCTCCCTTTGGAGTTCATGCGAATCCCTCAATTAACTGACTACGGGTAACTTTGTTCTTTTTTGTTTGATTACTAGCATTGACATGTTCCTGGTCTTGATACTTTCTACTGACTGTATTATCTTTCTTGGAAAAATACCAGCATTGACATGTTCCTTGTCTGGACAATTACGTTTGTCTATTATGCTCTTTAAAGTAATCAATAAAAAAACGGAAAAAAATAGACAAAATGCGTCTTTTGGTATTTGGAAATCCTTAAACGGCTATGCATACATCAGACATTTGTATTCGATTATACAGTTTGCTAAATGATAAGTAGACACGGTAAAAACTCTAGATATCATAGCATTTGTTAACATATATGGAATAATGAATTTGTATTCTCAATTTTAATGATTCCATTTTACGGGAAAGGGATGAGTTAAACCAAGTTTGATTTACCATGCCTTCTTCTTATATGACAGTTCTCTAAACATTGAAAAACAACTTATTAAGACGAAATCTAGCACATGATCAAGCAGGATATATTGAAACAGACGGTAGTGTAGACTAAATTAGCACTTGGGCAGTAAAAACCCACATTTAAACTGGGACGGGTATTTACTCAAACAATCTCTTAAGGCTCACATATTGTTAGGCTACACTAACTTCGCATGGCAGTGATGTATTTCACACATAATCAGGCAGATACGTCTTATTTGAAATATTTTAATTGTTTATATATAATCAACTGATACGTGCTTTAAGTATTCATTTTTTTTCCGACCCCTTATATTCCTGATTGTTTGGATTCCGTTGGTTGGAGTGGTTTTCCAGGTCGGGCTTAGTTCCGGTTCCAGTATAACCAGACTGATGTCCTTCATATTTAGTGCTGGTTGGATTACACTGTTCAGACTTATTGTCGTTCCTTGCTTGGCCTTCACCTTTTCCGTTTTGGCCTTCACCTTTATCAGCTTGGCCTTCACCTTTTCCAGCTTGGACTTTACCTTTCCCAGCTTGGTCCTCACCTTTTCCAGACATTTTTCTGATTTAAAAAAGAAGACAGATTTCATATAAGAGCTTAGTAGGCACTGTTATCCCGAATTTTCAAATAAGCAGAAAATAGAAAATTCAATATTGTGCTTCTAAAATAAAGCATTCAGTGCAGCTTCCGACCATCAACACAAATCATTGCAATTCAACATTTAGTATGGAAATCCAGTCATTCGCTTTAATAAATTTTCGTCGCTTAAACTTTGATTTATTGTACGACAAGTTGCCACAATTATATTGAAAAAAAGGCAAATAACATATTGATTTTATAATCATCTTGACCTCTATTGTTTTCCTCTGTATTGAATATTACTGGTATTTTGTTAACATGTAATTATACTTTACTTTAAATAATGTCATAATACATTATGATAATGCACATGCTACGTGTATCGACGTTTATATTTCATTAGACATGGTTAGGTAATTCCATTTTCTGAAAATTGTATTGTTTATTATATTCTTTTTTGTGTAGCAGTTTCGTACTTTGACTGTTCCAGATGTCTTAAAACAGGACATTTGGACTGACATGGTCTCAAAATTTGTCAGTCCAATTTTTTTAATTTTATTAAATATTTCACTAATTAGTCACCTTTAGACTGACATGATAACGTTTATCAGTCAAATGATTCGGAAAAAGTAAAACAAAAATACCGAACTCCGAAGGAAATTAAAAAAAAGGGGATTGACACTTTAGGGCTCTGCTCTTAGAATATTTTACGTCGATTATACAAATGGTAGTCTGTAATCCAAATTATTCTACACTATATTAAATTCTGAGACTGTTTTCATAGATATATCTTTTAAAACGAGTTTATTGTGTAAATGAATAAAAAAAAGACATACTTGATAGTTGTACATACCCGATTTCTGTTTTACGGTTGAAAAAAGTATTGATAGATTTCTGTATGCTTTGTTAAGAAAGCTTTTGAGGCAACTAGCGCAGTGTAATGCGGATCAATCTGTAATATGCTTTTATGGTCGGGTCGTACTATCTGGAATGTATATATAGATAACAACATTCGGTTGGACCTTACACAATTCTTTGCATCAACTTTGACATCTAATCGGTAAGGGGTTGATTTTATCAAGGTGTATATAATTTTCTGAAAACGCATATATTAATATCTAGTTAACAACATGATAATGTTAGTTAATATTACCATAACTTACATATACTATATTGGATTTCTCCGTACACAAATGATAGTTCTATTTGTTATGTTTCGGAACGTTTGTCTGACATTGTTTAGATATATTCCTACATAAGAAGTAAAAAAGGCATAATATAGAAACATATTCTTACGCAGGCATAAAAAGTTGCTATTTATTACAGATCTTTCAATTTGTTTTTCATTAGAACTTTGCACCAACATCAGTAACTTTGATGTTATGAAGTTCATATTCCTTTCAAGCTCGTCTGATGATAGGTGTCATGCAGAAATTCTGAAAAAAGGGAAACTCCTCATACATTATACTCGAAACATTCATCTTATTCCTTTCGCAGATTTGGAAAATTACTAAATAACACAAAATAATGTGCACTCCATGTTCGTACCTTAACCACATAAATCACAGACCTAAAACCTCTGTCGTGTTTGGTATATACTTTTATTTGTTGTAAATATTTATTTGTGTTTCAAAGTTCTACGTTAATTAGCGATAGAAAGAGGGAGTGTTTCGACAATAAAAAGTAAAAGGAACCGAACCATGTATGAATAATTGAAATTAAAAAAAAAGGAAGCATACGAAAATTCTAAAACAGCTAGTCATTTTCCTTTTGATAATTATTTTATTGTTTTAAATTATGTTCATCTCATTTAAGAAACCCATTTTGAAACGTTTATATTAATTTAACAGGATTGAATGATACGTGAACTGAAACGAAAACAAAAAATGTTGATTTAAACGGTTTACTGTCAAGGTCATTACTAGTGAACGAATAATCTTACGTAAAAGAGAGTCGAAAGATACCAAAGGGACATTCAAACTCATAAGTCGAAAATAAACTGAAAACGCCATTGCAAAAAAAAAAGACAAAAAGACAAACAACTGAACACAAAACACAACATAGAAATCAAAAGACTGAGCACCAAGAATAAAAAAAAAAACCGGGGGTGATCGGAAGGGTAAGCAGATCCTGTTCCACATGTAACACCTGTCGTGTTGTTGCTCCTTTAAAATATGCGCAATAACGGATTGGTAATTGACTCTTATCTAACCCTAAGACATCACCAAATTCACAAACTATCGATCATGTAAATTTTCTAACCCTGAAACCTGACCGAATGTGGAATATTGAAATTGAAACAAGTTGTTCATGACAAAGGACAGACAGGACTGTTACCGGTATAAACATCAA